GTAATCATCTGCTGAATGTTTTCTAGTTGGGAGTTCAAGTTATGAATTTGTGATTCATTTTATCCAAATTATCTTTTGTCTCTTCATCGTTTCTCTTTGTGTCTTCTTTATGTGAAGTAATTGCCTCCTGAATTAATTGTAGTGTGGCTTGCATTTCCTTCTGGAAATTATTGGTTTTTTCTTGTTAAAGCATTTATTCAATTGATCTCTGATACACAGGACTGGGGGCAGTAGAAGACAGAGCTGAGGATGGTTTTTTGCTAGTTTTAGCTAGGTTAGAAACACTCATTTTTATTCCCACCCTACAGACCTTCTCAACTCTAGTATATTCCCTAGTTACCAGCCTTATGCAAACCACCAATCTTATAATCAATATCACAATATGTCATTTAATTTCATCTCAAATAGTTCTTGTGATCTTTATCTATAGTCTCTATAATCCAATAAACTCCCCCAAATGGGGGAAGAAAGGAAGAAAAATTTGTAATCTACTTCTGTCTTTCAATCTCAATTCCAAACAATTATCCAAAAATCCAGAGTTATCAGCCCAGATTTGTAATCCAAAGGGTCCTGACTAACTTCTAATATCCATGGTTCAAAATAGTTTATTTATTTTATCCATCTCCTTCATAGAGCAATTCTATAGTGTTTTCCAAATAATGTTTCTCTTCTAAACTAATACCTTGCTTCTAAATTCAATTTTCTCATGGAATTGATTCCATATAATATGTCCCAAAGGTGCTTTTTCAAAAGGCAACTGGACTTTGTTTTTCCTCGAAATTTCGCTTTTCATGCAAGAAGCTTTTTCAGTTCAGTTCAGAGCTGAAGAAGCTTCTTGGATGAGAAGAGAAACATCTTCAAGGAAAAACAAAGTCCAGCTGCCTTTTGAAAAAGAACTTTTGGGACAACCATGATCTGGATGACTGAGAATCTCCATAGATATCCATATAATATGTGTTAATTAAATAGTAATGAATCACTGGATAGAGTATTGGATGAAAACCTCCTTATTCTCTATATCTTTGATATAGGCTACCTCATAAATAAGGTAATACTCTGACAATTTTGCCTAAAAAAATAGAAGTTTAAAGCTAACAACATGAGGCAGCAGACCCATGTCTATAAACACAAGTTGGTCTAATTATACAGGAATTTAATATAAAAGCCAATCACTTCCTTCTCAGAGAAGTGTGAAAGAAAATTTCCAAGGATTTCCCCCCCATGAACCCCATGACTCTAGCTAGCTCAGAAACATGGCTCAGAAAGATGCTGCATAGATAAGTGAATACATAAATCCAAATTATTCTCTGATAGAACATCAGTCCCTTTACCTAACTCAATATTGTTTGTTTTGATTGGCCATAGTTCTGAGTCTGGATATGAACTTGGAGCATTTCCCAATCCTACCTGTAAATGTCAGTAATTGAACATGGGATTTTTGCATGCAAAGATATGCTTTACATATGAACATCAGTCTCCTTTGGCTTCAGCATCTGCCCACTGCCTGATTTGCAACCAAAGACCCAGTTGTACATATGATTGGAGAAGAAGACTCTCAGTGGCCTTTATTGCTAAAGGGATTGCTGTCTGGCTAGGTCAATCGCTGGTTTTCCAAATGTTGGTGAAGTACATTTCATAGGCAGTAGCCTTAGACAAATTGGTTTGTTCTCCATATTGGGCCAAAGCTCATAGTAATAAAAAACTGGAAATTTTGTTTCTTCTATCAGTACATATTCTGGATTCTAACCAAATGTTTAAGTCTTGACTGTTTGTTTTCATACTTCCTCTGCTTGCCAGTGAGTCATAATCTTTTTTTTTGCTATTAAAACAAAATAATTTGGAGTTAAAAACATCAACAGAACAGGCTAAGTAGGAACCAAACATTCAAAAGAGCCAGAGTAAAGGCTTACAATCCACATGTGGTAGTCAATATTAGTAATCCATTTATATTTGAAGAAAAAAACATCCATCCAAAACTTTAGCTGGTGAATTTAGTGGATTGTCTGGTTGTACTCCCCGTTTTGTGCTACCGTGATAACAGAGCACTGAGGGCCATATGGACTTCACAATAGCACCAGATGTTCAGCTCTGTTTTCAAATGCAGAAAAAGAGGCAATGCTGAAAGATCTTCTCTCCCCATAGACCAGCAAATTCAAAAAGCCAAGCAGGAAAGTGCCTGCATTGGGCCAGTGCCATTATACTGTTAACCAGTCCAAATTATGTGTGGGCTGAGTTAAGAAAGAAGCCTCAACTGCAACAGCCTTTGTTCTTTAGGGAAGGCACTGTGCACAGATAGGGTGTGTCCAGTGTAGAAAGCATTTGGGACCAACCAGTCTGTTAATTTCTGTGATACTGCAATATACCAGGGGAGAACCTCCTCTTCGTTAATACTTGCCCCTTTATAGCTAATTTTATGTTTCCAGATGCCTAAATCCAGATTTCAAAAACAATAGCATGATTATGCATTTATGGGGTTTATTTACAGTTCTTGGCCAAAGAACACAAAAACAGGATGAAAAGTTGTAAGAATTGTAAGTTGTCTCTTCCCCACCCAGTTTCATATTATAAAGAAGAATTAACACTGCCCAGTCTTCTAGCTATTTCCCTTGAGAACATAATTTTCCAATGGAATTTCCTGCTCTTTGGAGCTGCAAATATAAAATTGGGAGTGTAAGAATCCTGAAAAAAAGATCTTTCCCCATTTAAAACACGTCACAAAGCTCAGGAACCACAATCCAATTTACAGCTTTCAACAGCCATGAACTATCTCCATTAGAACTTCTGAAGGCTGAAGTGTATACTTGCGTATTTCAGGCCTGGGCAGTGCTGACCAAGGCTATCAGCCTCCTAAGGAAAGCTGACTAACATATCCTAAAGAGCACATCTCTCCCAGAATATATGAGTCTCCTGAATTTATCTACACTGAAGCAGTTCATGTACATAATTTTTAGTGATCTGCCTAGAGCCTTGTAAAGGAATTCAATACAATTTCTATCTTGCATAACTTGGGATAAGAAATAGAGCCTTTTATGTGACCATTTGTATGACCAGGTTGAGATGGATTAGAAACCTGCAATCCATTAACCATATCATGGTAACTTTTGATAATGTAGCCATCCATCTTATTCTCATGATTGGCTTTTGTACTAGTGATCTCTTTGGAACTTAGTTACAGTTTTTGTTGCTTACAATAGAATATTGTAAAAATGATGGAACATTTCAAAGCATGATCAGTTTAACTTGTGTACTTGTGCAGTTTGTTTGTGCAGTTTATAATTCAGTCCAGCTATTTCTCCGGGAGGTGAATGCCTGCATGAGTTCTCATAATTGCTTATATCCTTCTCACATTTCAATCTCATTTATCTATCTTGCCTTCCCCAACTTTTTGTTTTTACTGTGTAAGAAAATGTCCCTGCCCTTCCCTTCAGCAACATTTCTTAATTTCTCACAAAATCATATGAGTTACTAGATTCACTTGGAAAAGCAAGGCACAAAGTACACATGTTGCAGGAAAACAGTTTTTCTTTTGGAAAGCACTTGACCTCAATCTATCAAGAATAGACCTGCTACCCCTCAAGAAGAGTGATTACAAGATATATTTCATGTCCTTGTTTTGATGGGATTGTCTTCCACTGCAATGGACAAAGGTCCAGTGAAAGTAATGTCCAGGCTCCTGAGCAAATCTGAGGACTTGTGAAGTAATTCTGGAGAATGTCATCTTTCCCAACTCTCCAATCATTATAGGAACAAGTAATGAGAGGTTGTTTGATCCAAAGAAATACTAAATCATAATGTTCTTTGGAAGGGCATGCCCCTAAGGAAGCCCAAATTCAACACATACATTATACCTAAAATTCAATCAATCATTCAATAAACCTGAAAAGAGTCACTTTGACAATGAGATGAGCAGCATATAAATTTAATAAAGAAATAAAGATTAATCTGTCACTGGAAATAAAATTGAATTTACTGAATGGAGTTTATGTCCAAATTAGACACATTTAGGGCTGTGCTATAAGGAGTCTAATATGCTCAAACTTACAATTTGCTTCTATTTATTTAAGGATAACAAATACAACAACCAGTGGGACTTGATTCCAAGTAAATACATTAATATTCCTAGGCAGCAGAACAATTCTGCACATATTTACTCAGAAGTAAATAATTCTAAATTAAGAGGACTTCCAGGTAAAGTATGAATTGCAGTTAGTTAAATCCTTTAAGTCTCACCTTTAGGTTTAGAAAAATAGGGGGATATTGAAAACTAAGATCCTAGTTTATGAGTATTTAAATGTTTGTTTGGTTCCTCCTCTTCTAAACTTCAGTTTCTTGTTACAAAGGAAAATTAGTTTAAGAAATGAAAAACCTGAGTATTCTTTTGCTTTGAGAGAAAGCAAACATCACAAGAATTTTTTTTCAAATATATTGTTTTACAGAGAAGCAAATCTTCATCCTTGGCTATTCAAAGAAACTCTGAAACTTTCTTCTTTCAAACAGATATATAGCTCTGATAAAACTACTTTAAATGTCATGCAAATAGAATTAATCAGTTCCACCTTGACATTCCTTTCTTAAGAATGTAGAACTCATAGACTTGGAGTCTAGCCCTCTTTATCCCATCTACTAAAGTTATTATTGTAAATCAGTTTTACTAATGATGCAGCTTTTGAAAACAAACCTTGCTTTTGTGTGGGATTCATAAGCATAAGACTGACATGCACAGAAAAACAAAAACAAAACAAAGGGGGGGGGAAGGGGGAAATCCTTAAATCCCATGGAAACAGTTTCAGCTTTTTAATCACAAACTTCACAAGCAAGTCTCTCTGGTTGTCAGAAGTTTTATGAGTAAGAAAATCAGCCTTTCAAAGAATCAGACATGAAACTCTACAAAATAACAGAGGGTAAGTGGAGAGAGAAACATCCCATTTGACTGGTGGTGAAAGAAACAGTGCCTGCTAGATGTGGCTATTTCCCAAAGAAGACACTTAGTCCAGGCTTACCTGTTGACACCTGCCCTCCTCCTGCCTGTCTTTGGTTGCTTTAACTTCCAGGCTCTTCCTCCCCCCCTTTTCTCCTCCTCCTCCTCCTTCTTCTTCCTCCTCCTCACTCTGATCCAGTCCTGATACAAATGTGAGCCTCTTCCAAGCCGTGCGTGTTTTCTCTGGTTTTGTTCCTTGGAGATTCTCTTAGAGAGGGCGGGTGGGAGCGAGGGAAGGAGGAGAAAATCATAACAATAACGTCTTTCTTTGGCAGCCAAACTCCTCAGCGTTTAAAGTATATGCATGTTCTCCTGCTTGCCTGTGGAGAGAATCATAAGGAAAAACATTTCCTTCTGGCCAGGCAAGAGGGCTCCCCACCAGCATTAAGCAAATCCCATGTGCCTATGCACATCTATACATACATACCCACACTTATATATTTACCTTGCACTTTACATTTATTATTAGCATGATAACCTCTCCTGACTTTACAATAAAACAATACATCTACATCCTGGTACAAAATAGACAGAAGGAAATAGGAACCCAACTTACTTGCCAGGATTTGTGGGTTTGGGAATGAATGGTATTAGATAACAAGGATCTTATTTTTCTAAATGCAATTGCTGTATTACCCTGTTCTTCTTTTATGTTATGATTATTAACATTGATAGTGCCAACTCAGTTATTAAACACCACCCATATCTCCCCTAAATTTGGCAGTTTAAGAATAAAAGGCTATCCCACGGTCTAAGTTTAGTGGCTGGCAATGCCTCTTGATAAAAGTCACTGAAAGCATAATGCAATGTATGTATCACTTTTCTTTAAAGCTCTTTAAAGTGGAAGGAGTGAAATTTCCTCATCAAATTATATATTAGAAATTGCTTAATGACATTTAATCTTAATAATCCTAGCTAAAATTTAAGGAGTCAGTTTAACAATTATAAAATGGAGTAACTTGAGCTTTTAATAGTAGGAGCGTTGGCACATGCAGGATAGCTGTTGTGGTACATATAGGTCAACAGAAGCTAGACGTAACCGCAAGCAGAGGAAACACAAAAATAAAGATAGAGCTTATGCCAGCAAAAGGTTATGGTTAAACAGTACAGTTGCAGCAGGTGTGAGGGGCTTTTTCCTGGGAGGGTAGGAACAAAATTTATTCTGTTTAGGCGCTTCAGATTAGCTGATTGGGGGTAAGCAGGTGGGGGGGAGGAACCAGCATTATGAAAGGGTATAAATATCTGCTTTTTAAAATTATTGGTGTGGCTTGATCTCCTGCAAGAGACTACCAACTTTTGCAAAAGTTATAATTTAAATAAACTCTGTTCCTGGAATCCCAAGTGAGTGTGTGTCTTTTAAAAATCTGAGCCTAACACTCCAAACAATAGTAATTTTATCCCATGCGTGTATTCTTGAAAGGAAGTTCCACTGAGTTTAATCCTCAACATGTTTATGTGGTAATACATCTATTAAAATCAAAGAGCCTAACTTCTGCCTAAATACATTTAGGATTGTATAGTAAACTAACAAGATAAAAGTTAACAAGAAACAAATTGTAAGCCTATGTTAAATACTAAGTGTTAACAAATGCCATACCATAGTCCTGCACAATTTATAACATTTTAAACTATTTAATTGTTATTTGTTTGTTGACTAAGATATTTTCAACAAGATATTTTTTTATTGTATAATAGTCTTATATTTCATTCATTCATTTATTTCATCCAACTGAAAAAGAAATGGCAGCTTGGGATGTGTGTATGTGCCTAAAACACAAATGGTCCAGTGATTTTTTTTTCTTTCTCAAAAGTCTCTTGCAGTTTTGCAAAGATTTCAGGTTGCTATCAGGCTTGTGAAAATGTTTGCTTCGGCTTGATAGACATCAAAAAGTTGTATCTAAATCTACAAAATGTAAGGTAATAGAAGATTTACAGTAATTATGAAATACCTAGCTATAAAATTTAACTATATTTAATTTTCTGGATCCGTCTTTTTTTAAGAAAAAAAAATAGCTCAGACTCAGCTGAAAAATGTATTGGTCTTTTTGTCATTTGAAAGTGCACTATTTCACTATTTCTGTGGAAAAAGGAGGAGGAGGAGGAGGAGAAGGAGGAGGAGGAGGAGGAGAAGGAGAAGGAGAAGGAGAAGGAGAAGGAGAAGGAGAAGGAGAAGGAGAAGGAGAAGGAGAAGGAGAAGGAGAAGNNNNTCTTTTTCCCTGCCCCTAATGAGCTTTTTGGCACATTGTTTCGAAGAAACTGCGCAACATTCCTGTGGTAATGTTCCAGCAGCTTTATGTACATCGACTTTGATGATTTTTCTTTCACTCCGACAGGATTTCTTTCCCTTGGCATCCATTGCTTTCTCATTTGAGGTTGATGTCCTTTTTCAGCATCCTGCTGAGGCCATCCGTGACAATCTTCAGGATACATTTCTTTGTCAGAGCTCATGCCAGCTAACCATCTACTTGGTCCAACAAGGCTCAGTTCAAAATACTCCTGTAAGTTATTTGGTTTTTTAAGTACAGAACTGGTCAGCTCAGAGCATTGTGTCTTTCCTATCTTTTTATCCTTTTACTTTTAGAGACATAGAACAACATGCACCCAGTCTTGAACAAGCTACCATTAGAAAAAAAAAAAAGACAGCATGTTGCAGACGCACATGACTTGTTTTCTCATGTAGCTTTTCAAAATGTTTTCCTTAGAAACAACAAAACATATCAGGCAAGAAGCAAACAATTATTATTCCTTAACTAAAATGCACCAGTAAGGCCTGTGTCCTCTTTGCCCGGAGCAAATCCAACTGATTTGTTTTCTCAGAAATCAGTTATGTTTATCAGTATTCTTTCAGAGACAGTTGAAAAATCATGGAAGTTTTATCTATAAATATTTTCATTTTCTGCCTCCAAAATCTTAAGCCAATTCTCTTTTCCAGTCCTCCAGTTTCTTCAATGGCAGAAAGGCCAGCAAAGAGGTCCTAATTCATTGCTCCTTGCATCCATGGACATCTGCCTTAGTGAACTGTTTAAGTCTTTCCATCCTTTTGGAGAAAACCAGACCACAAGATCTGCAGCTGGTTCATTCTGAGGAATTTGCTCAGTTTCTAGAAAAAAAATGCTCACATTTGGAAATATGGACACTAGTTGGTCAAGTCCAACTGAAGTCTAGCTGACATAACAAACACCTCATTGTGTGTGGTTATCTGGAATCAGTTTTAACTTGTGGGACCCTGAGGAAATGGACAGTTTTTTCTATGTTACCCTGGCCACTTGGGGATTGGATTCCTGTTGGTATTGTGTGCTGGTGAAAGCTTCCAGGAAGATGACAGCAGGCTGGGATTCAGTTTGTAGTACTTACATTCTTGAGTGAGGGTTGCCTACCCCCTATTCTGAAAGTGGCAGTGGTGTGTCCCTCCTTGAGAACCAATTGCTCAATCAAGCTATTTTAGACAACTATAATATCATCTCCAATATTTTTTTAAGGCAGGTTGTTGAGAAGGTGGTGGGCCTACAGTTACAAAAATTCTATATGGAGCAGATTTTCTAGACCTTTATCAATAAGGGTTTGGGACTGGGGAAAAGATGAAAAATGCACCTTTGGTATATTGGTGTAGCAGAAGTTCAACCCTCCATGCTCTACTAGTTGTTGCAGTGGGTTTTGATACCATTTAGGCTGATCCTTCTAGGCTGTCAGCAATGGATCCTTTTTCCTAAATGGTCGGCTCAGTTGGTGTGAAGAGCATTAATCCCTCAAGTAGCCTAAATGAAATATTACAGGGCTTAAACCTTTCCATAAGTTGTTTAATATCTTCATGAAACTTCTGGGAGATGGATCATCAATATATGGATGATATTTAGATATATATATATATTCATTCTGGGACATACAGGAGATGTAGTGGAGGTTCTGTTTCAGGGTGTGTAGACTGTTAAGATCTGGATGGAGAAAAACTATCTCAAGCTAAATTCTAATAAGGAAGACTATGGATACAGAGATGGACTAATGTCAGAAACAGTCCATCTAAATGAGGTTGTGTACCCCTGAATGGAACTCGGTTGTAATGCCTGAAGAATCAAACTCCTTCCTGGTTTATTTCCAGGCCAGAAATTCCAAAAAAACACCCCAAACTTTCAGTGAAGGTAAATATATATATATATTTATTCAATCCAAAGTTGTCAAGTAACTTTGCATGAGTGGCTGCAATGGGCTGCTTCTCCAGCTTCCTTTTTATAGGTTTTTAGTTTAAAATTTAGCCATTCATTATCAATGGAATGGAATGTATTAGCTATTACAAACAAATGTGTCTTTATCTTAGACTTAAAGCAGATGCCTCCTTATTTATAATTAAAACAAATGTCTTCTTATCTTGAGGTTAAACAGATGTCTTGTTAAATGGACATTTTATCTTTCTCATATATACTGTGTGTGTGTATGTGTGTGTGTGTGTGTATGTGAAGCAAATATATAACAAATAAATATATATGCACACAGGCACAAGATATATGACTTCCTTTGCATGGGTTTTGCTATGCAATGTATTTGTTTGTTTGTTTATTATTTATAGTGTCAGAAGCCAGACATTACCACTGCTTATACAATCATTCAAGATTCTTAATTTAAACAAATTGTAAGCATATAAGGAAGGTATTCCAATAGTAGGCTAAGACATTGTCAACTTTAGAATGAGCATGGCTCATTTTTAACTTTGTATTGGGGAATTGTTATGCATCTCTTCAGACTTGGTTTCACTTTTGAAGTGCTGATACTTTGTATCAATAAGCATGTTCTTTGAGGAATTGCAAGCCTTGGAGTTCTGCTTTATTTGTCTCTGTCTGTCAGAACCTTGACAGACATCTCCATGAATAACACATAATGACCATGTCCAGGAAGGCTTTCGCACAATTAGATCATGTATGTTCCAAAGATGCTTTTTCACAAGGCAACTGGGTTTTCTTGTTTTTCTTTGAAGACGTTTCGCTTCTCATCCAAGAAGCTTCTTCAGCTCTTACTGGATGGTGGGGAATGGAAAGATTTATACTCCTGCAGACAGTGGTTCATTTGCATTCTTTTAGCGAGTCATTAATGC